CAATGTATTTGAATTATGGTGCTGGTGACAAATATTGAAAGTATCAGCAACTGTCCAAAGAGCATGCAAATCTGCCTGGGAAGACATACATCCAGAATGCTCCTTAGAACACACGATAGCAAGACTTCTCACTTAATTTGGACATGTTATCAGGAACTAAACATTGGAGAAGAACACCATGCTTAGTAAAGTAGAGGGGCAGTAAGAGTGTGGAAGACTCTTCACCCCACCCCACCCCCAAGATGGCTTGGCACAGTGGCTGCAACAGTGGGAACAAATATAACAAGATAACGGATCTTATGGTCTCGGTCTATTTCTACTGTGCTGTCAGAAAATTCATAATACTAAGGATTTGTAAGATTTTCCTTATGTACAGATTTACTACATAGAGCGTTCTGGGAAATATCAACCCTTACACTTACAGTGAATTAGAACCCCGATTCTAATTCTGGCTTTCATTGCAGTTAATATTAGGTAATTTATAAACTCTGGTACTCAAAATCTAGATTTGGATTTAAAGAGCAGCAATCAATGTGTGATAAAGAGGAGAAAACTGATCTGAAGTATATTCAGAGAGTTTTCCATGAGAGGCCTGGCAATAGGTCTACCCCCCACTCAGGGTCATTTTTTTTTAAACTGTGTATCTAACAAGCTGATCATGTCATTAGTAGGGACTGTCATTGAGTCTAGGATCCTATAAACAGAATAGAGTTTGCATTTCTGAGGCTGTAAATCTTTCTGGAAATAGATGGTCTCCTCTTTTTCCCCCAGAGGTGCTGGGGGGTTCAGGTTGCTGACCTTGAAGTTAGTAATCTACCCTCTAACCTCTGAGGATTTGGATTACATTTTACCACGATGATTGTAAGACTTTTTTTCATGTGTTAATTGTTGTTCTTCCCAAGGTAAGCTTGCTACCTCTTTCTAGTATTATCTGAGAGCCTCAGGGCCTTGGTTTAAAGAGGGGTGGCTAATACTTGATTGCTGAGACATTTTCTCCTTGAAATTTGAAGCTTTTTTATAGGATTGCCAATAAAAATAAAATGTGTAAGTGAGATTTCGGAAAAGCTGCCGATATTTGCCAGTTTCCACAAAAGAACTCATGCATTCTCTGTTTACTCTGATGACAAGGCAATTGCAGTAGTTTACTCTTATTGCCAAGAAATCTGCAGTTTCCATACCTTTATTGTATAAGAAAGTAGAGTGTTTTGTGTCACAGTCTTTTGGTTTTGAATAAATTTGGCATTAAGTAGCTCTCTATTGTTAAGGGCCCCCAAGAGCCATCATTCCAAACCAAGCCTTTTCTAGTCCCTTTAGAATGCATAGGAGACTCCTATTTGCATCACTTTATAGAGGTCAGTGGCAAATAGGTCTGTCATTGGAATATTTATATAGTTTAGTGCTATAATGCCATGGATGTAAAAATGTCCCTCTGCAACACCAATATTGAATTAAAATAAATTATGTACTACAATATTTATATATTCTTTTTCCATTAGTCTCTTCTTGAAACTAGGAATTGTCCTGACTTAAGAAGCTTATTCCTTTTTTCCAAATGAACAGGATTTAAGCCAAGATTCCTGGAATCAACATTTCATGGTTGATAGCAAGTCAAATGACGCTGTTTTCTGCGTCATTTGAAACCAGAAGGTTCCCTAAAAAATAGTATTTCGTCTGAAAGGTAGTTCTCTGATGAAATGTTTCCTTGCATCCACACAAGCCAAGCTAGTTCCAGCTCTTGTCCTCAGGTGGGACTCTCCCCCTGTCCTTCCTTTTAGAATTTGCATGGTTATTGAAAATCTGCCTTCCACAAGCCCCTCCTGATAAGACTTTGTGCCTCTGATAGGTTTAAATTCATCACCATTTCTTATAAAATTCTTGTCTGTATTAAAACATAAACAAATAAACCTTTAAAAGGAAACCACAACCCACAAGGAGGCCTTGTTGAGTGCCTTTGAGCTAATATTATGCCTTAAGACACTTATATAGTAATCTGTTTTAATTGGCAAAAAATATTCACCATGAACTTTTTCGGTCATTTAATAATGGATTTCCACTGAGTGACCTCTTCTATCAATAGTCTAATAAAGAAGGATCACATATTTGTTACATACAAATGGAATCTACTGCAGGATCTACTCAGGGTGGGGCAGTAGGTTTGCCATCTTCGAGCCAGTGCAAGCTGTTTCCTACCTGAGTCAAACCAGGACAGCCACAGAGGTGGCTGGTTTGTATTACATGCATGCATGGTCCTTGTTTATTGTGAAAATTACTGAACTGGTTTGAACCAGTTTGAAGGTCTGGATCAAATCTCAGCTCTACCATTTGTAAATACAAGCTCTTAGAAAGTCGCTTAACCCTTTTGAGCTCAGTTTTCTCATTGTTGAAATGGAAGTGACACCACCTGTCTCATTGACTTCGTGGGATCAGAAAGTAAGGTGTCTAAACATATGGTAGACGTTCCCTAAGCGGAAGCTTGTATGGACCTCCAGTCATTAACTTTTTTCTTTAAATAATTTTCAAGTACTTGTCTCTCAGATTATTGTCAAAAAATATATCTTTCCCTTTAACAGATCACTGCCTCAGAAACTGATTTGATGATTCTTTCCCCGCCAACAATTATATTGGCATATAATTCATGTAACATACAATTCAATAGTTAAATCATATTTAAAAGGGTTGTACAAACAAGAACCACAATCAATTTTAGAATACTTTCTCCTTGCTTGGACTCAATATTATGAGCCCACCATTTCCCTTCAACCTCCTCTGCCACCCCCCTAAATAACCATTAATCCAGTTATCGTCTCTATACATTCACCTATCCTGCACTTAACATACAGAAACACATACCCCAAAAAGAAGCAATAATAAAATAAATCAGAGAAAAATCTCAGTAAAAAGAAAGCAGAGCATATTACAAACTAGAACAAATGTAACATGAGTCAAAAGGGAGATCAACCAGAGGGTGATAAATGTTAAGCTAACTGCATCTCTAATTACCCACTCTATTGCACTCTACCTGATTGCAAGGCCATTTGCATCCTTGGCATGGTCTCCATTCAGTGCAGATTCACTGGAGCCTTCATCTACATGTATTTTCCCTCCACTTAAAAAAAAAAAACCTGAAAAACTTTAAAATGAGTCAAAAAGGAAATGGAATGATCAGGTGTTACATTTTAGCCTCTTTACATCTGTTATAATCAACTTTATAATACTCTGATGACAAGGCTATTCACATCCCTTGACTAAGCTTAAAGGGGATTCACAAGAGGCTGAATCCATGTAGGGAGCCTGCAAATGGATTTTGGGCTTCCAGCGTCACCATGGTCTTCTGCAAACCAAATGTTCACAATGTAAGCTTTGATACCATTCCCTCCTTCAAATTGGGATCTTATTACATACAATCCTTGGATCACACAGGCTGGTGTGCTTCTTCCATATGGATTTAGTTGATGCTTCACTTAGATGTTTTAAGATAAGCCTTTAAGACCACAGGCACTATTCTTTCTGATAGCTGGGCACCATCAAATTTCTTCACCACACTTTGCTGTAGCACCCAGGATCTTCAGTGATCTCTTCATGAGGTTGAGCAGATTTTAATTATCCTTACTGCAAGATACCATTGCAGTGCTTATCTATTCATTCATACAGGAAATATTTATTGGGCCTTATGTAATAGGTGTTAAGCCCTGCACCGAGTCCTAAGAGTTCAGTAATTAGCAAAGATAGACATGGGTTTTTCCCTTTTTGAAATTATATTCTTTTGGAAATAAAAAGACAAATGAGGCAGTTCTGTAAACAAATTTATAATTGTAGACATATTGGGCAACTAGGAAAATGACATAATATTCTAAGTATCTCTGTTGGAGACTAGTTAATGGCTCTGGGAAAATGTTCTGAAGAAGTGACATTTGTAATAAATCCAAAGGTTGAAAAGAGAGCATTTGATTAAAAGAAGATGTGCTCATTAAAGAAAAGAGTATGTTCTAAAGGCCTGTGGTGGGAGAAAAGAAGATACCACCATCACTGGACTACAGGCAGCAAGAGGAAGGAAGTTTGAAATTAGGCTTATGTAGTATTTCGAGCCTAGACCAACTCAGGACTCATAGTAAGCTATATTCCCTTTATTCTAAACCAGCAAGAAGATGCCATTTAAGGTTTCTAGAGAACTGACCAGATGGACGGGGATTTGAAGTAAATGTATAAGGACCTGCTAAGAAGC